TCTTTTTAAGTACTTATTCTCATTTTTATATAGAATAAAAGTATATTATTTTAAGGTTAAAATACTTTTTTAGTTTTTATACTATAGTTTTACTTATTTTACCTTATAGTTTCTATAATTTTAAATAGGGATTTTTAGTTCCTATACTTAATTTTTTTTTCAATTCTTTTTAGTTTCTTTCATTTAAGATAGATCTTTTTAATCTTTATAGTTGCAAGTTTTTAATCTTTTTACTCTAAATTAAATCTCTTGACACTTCATTCTTCTTTTGTAGTCTCACTTGCAACGTCTATTATTGAAACATTTTTTTTATCCTCACAAAATTAAAGACATATATCACGTTAACACAAAATGAAAAGCGTTACAAAAAAAAAATTAACGATAAAAATTAAAAAGATTAAAAAAAATACAAATATAGGGACTAAAAAATTTATTTTAAATTATAGGGATTGAATAAGATTGAAAAATATAAGTATAGGAATTAAAAAAGATTTATTTTAAATTATATGGACTAAAAGGTAAAGTAAATGAAACTATATGGGATTGTGAAGGTGCAAAAAGTCCAGGACCAGATGGGTATAATTTTAACTTTATTAAAGATTTTTGGGATATTCTCAAAACTGATTTTTTAGCTATGGTGCATGAATTCTATATATATGGCAAATTGGTGAAGGGGTCAAATAGCTTGTTCCTTGTGCTTGTCCCAAAAACTGATAGCCCGCAGAAAGTGGAAGAGTACAGACCAATTTCTTTAATAGGTTGCATTTATAAGGTTGTGGCAAAGGTGTTGGCCAATAGGTTGCGTAAGGTGATTAGTAGCGTCATTTCAGATTGTCAATCAGCTTTTTTAAAAGGAAGATCCATTTTGGATGGGATTTTGATTGCTAATGAAGTTGTTGAGGAGATCAAAAGAGAGCATACAAGTAATTTGCTTTTTAAAGTGGATTTTGAAAAGGCTTATGACTCAATTAATTGGGGGTTCTTGCAGTTCGTTATGGAGAGGATGGGGTTTCCTTCTAAGTGGAGAATGTGGATACAAGAATGTTTGAGTACTGCTAGAGTCTCCGTCCTGTTGAATGGTAGCCCTTCTAGCGAGTTTGGAGTTGGGAGGGGGTTGAGACAAGGAGATCCTCTTGCACCTTTTTTGTTCCTTATTGTTGCTGAGGGATTCCATGCTTTGATGGCTAAGGCAGTTGAGTCCCAAGTGTTTGTTGGCTATAAGGCTGGTCAAGAGGCAGTGCTCGTTTCTCACTTGCAGTATGCTGATGACACTTTAGTCATTGGAGAGGCTTCATTGCAAAATATTTGGGCTATTAAGGCTATTTTTCAGTTGTTTGAGGTGGTTGCAGGGCTTAAAGTCAATTTCCATAAAAGTAAACTATATGGAATCAATGTGGATAGAGAGTTGTTAGATGGAATGGCTCTTTTCTTAAATTGTACAGTGGGTTCTCTACCGTTTTCATACTTGGGTCTACCAATTGGTGCAAATCCAATATTGCTAAAGACGTGGGATCCAGTAATTAGTAAGGTACAAAAGAGATTGTCTAAGTGGAAAGGCAAAAATTTATCATTTGGTGGCAGAAGTGTTCTCTTGAAATCCGTTCTACATTCCATCCCGATCTACTATCTCTCCTTCTTCAAGGCTCCGACAGGTATTATTACTAGACTAGAATCTTTATTTAGGAGATTTCTTTGGGGGTGGAGATAAAGATCATAGTAAAATTGCTTGGGTTGCTTGGGATGATGTGTGTAGGGACATAAGGCATGGGGGATTAGGCGTCAAAGATTTAAGGAGTTTTAATCTTGCATTGGTAGGGAAATGAAGGTGGAGGCTTTTAATAGATAAGGGGAGGTTGTGGAATAGGGTGTTAGCTTCTTTATATGGGAATATACACGTGAGAGAGAGAGATGAGGTGGGTAAGGGTTCTAATTGGTGGGTTGATTTATGGAGAATTGACAAGGAGAGTTAATTACAGATGGTTGGTTTGCTAGTAGGTGTAATAAGGTTGTAAGGGATGGGACATATACATTTTTTTGGCAAGAGGCTTGGTGTGGCCCAACAGCTTTTTGTGTAAAATATGAAAGGTTATTCTCTATTGCGACTAATAAAGATGCCACCATTGATGATTTGAGGGTAACAGTAGATGGGGACGAAGTGTGGAACTGGTCCTGGAGGCGAAACCTGTTTCAATGGGAAGGTGAACTATTACAACAATTGCAAGTTGACATTGATTTCTTGCACCTGCAACAGGGAGTCAATGATCATTGGGTCTGGTCAGCTTCAAAAGATGGTCAATATTCTGTGAGGTCAGCTTACAATGTCATTGTGAATAAGGACATATTCGGTGAATTTCCTCTATATAATTACCTATGGTCCAAGTTTCTTCCTTCAAAAGTGTCTGGCTTTACTTGGCGATCTATGCTTAATAAATTACCAACAAAACAAAACTTAATTAAAAGAGGGATTCTACAAGCTGGAGGTGGATTCTGTATTTGGTGTGGCCATGATCTAGGGACAGTGTCCCATTTATTTTTTGAATGCCCTTTTGCTTATTGCATATGGATGTTGTGTTTAAATTGGTTTGGTATAAAGTCTGTGCTCCATAATTCTTGCCACCTTCGCTTAGCACAGTTTGTGAGTTTACCTATTTGCTCTAGTGTGGATCGGTTAAGATGGTCAACGGTGTGGATGACTGTTTTATGGTCTCTTTGGATTGCTAGGAATGAGGCTATCTTCTCTGATAAGGTCATACTACATTCTAACTTATTGGAGTTGATTCAATTGCGTTCTTGGAAGTGGCTTAAGGCTAAGGACCTTTCTTTCCAATACCCCTACTCATCTTGGGTTGGTTCCCCGACTGTCTGTCTAAATTTTCTGGACATATGAGATTCTTTAGCTGATTTTGCCTAAGCTACGAGCAATATTATACTTGTGGGAGATCACATACTGTCATCATCAAGGGTATTTCAAACACTGTCCTTGTGTGAAATCTGTGGTAAATCACTTAGTATTTGCTTTTTAGATGTCGTATCTTCTATTACTGTAGCTGTAAAATAGGCACCGTGTTTTTTAGTTGCTACAAGTATTCTTTGACCTTTGTAGTTGCTTATGGGTTAGAGTATCCCTTGTACTCCTTTTTAATAAATCTTTTTTGCCTATAAAAAAAAGTAAATGAAACTATAGGGATTAAAATATATTTTAACCTTATTTTAATCACATTTTTTACCAGTACATTTTCATGTACAATGTATTTCTTTTAAGAGTGCATTTCTTTTTGCATTTTATTTGAGTTGCATTAGTTAAAATTATGTTTAATTTGCATACTTACAATTTAATTAGACTAAATTATAGTTTTGGTCCTTTATATTATTGCTTTAGATTTATTTGGTCATTTATCTATTAAAATATTCATTTTGGTCATTTATCTTTTATATTTGAATCAATTTATTCATTTTAAAATAATGATTATTTTAATTTTGTGACATAATTTTAAATCAATTTTTGATTGATTTAAAATGTGAAACTTGTAATATTAGATTTACTTATATGAAATATGAAATGTAATTAACGTTTAAAATTTGTGTGAAAAATATATCTCATAAATAACTAAAAAATAATATAATTTTTTAAAATTTTTATTTTTATTTTTATTATGTTTATAACACATTTGGTCTAAACTTCAATTGTATTCGATAATTTTTATATAAATGAATCTTATGAAACAAAAAATCGAAATAAACGTGTTAAAAGATAAAAGAGTAAAATAACTTTAAAATATAAGAATATAATTTAGCCAAATACATATTACTTTTGTCTTTGCATAAAAAATTATAACCACTCTAATTAATTTACCAATAATAATAAAATTATACGTCAAAGTAATAATGTTTATTAAATTTTTTTTTTTATAAAAAATTAGATGGATTAAAGATACATTAACTCATCAATCTGTCATTTTTTACCCGCCAACTTGTTAAAATGAATAAACCTATCAACTTACTACCAGATAAATGAATTATATTTTTCGACTTATTCTCTTTAGTACTCTGCACATGTCACTCAAAGCTAAAAAAAGAATCGGACAACTCAAATAATTTACAATAATATAAAGAAGTCAAAGTCAATTAGAATAGACTTCTAAAACCTCTCAAGATCGATTCTAAAAATAAATAACTACTTTTACCCTTATTTTATTGCATTCGGTGAATGATATTTTAGCAACAATAATATTATCCAACACTCTTGTCAAGAATGAAGTTGCTCTAAAGTGGTTCAATGATATCATTAAGATAAGACTTGAAATGATAAATGAATACTCTAGAAAAATTCTTGCAAAGGTGATAGACCCAAAACATTTAATAACCATTAGGAATCAAATCTATGAGGGTCTTTGTTAGTCTATATTCTATGAGTTCTAAAAGGAAATAACCCCAAAATAATGGGTGAAGGATTACAAAAATAATTACTTTTTGTACGTGTCTTTTTAAATCCTGCACCCATTACATGTACCTAAATGGGTGTTCAAAAACACATATGATGGATTCATGTATGATTTAAAAAAAAGTTAGTGTAAAGTTTTTTTATTAATAACTAATTATATCTTTTAATTGTGTCATGTCATTGTTAAAAGTAAATGTGTTTACAGTGACATGACACAATTAAAAGATATAATTAATTACTAGTGTAGAAAATTTTTACACTAACAGTGTATAAGTAATTAACTTAAAAAAAAAATGACCGCAAGAAACAAAGCCACTCTAAGCATGGGAAAAGCCATAGATCATGTTGGACCCAACTTTTTCCAAATACACTCTAAGCCCACTTCTTTCAATAAGTTTCTTGGGTCTACTTAGTAACAAAAAAGGCCCAACAACACAGGCCCTAGATGAAGGTCTACTACAAAGTGGCCCAAAAGCCCAAGAAGTCACGGAGCCCAACATTTGCGGTGGTGATCATCATCCACGCCGAGTTATAAACATTTTTCTGCTAATAATTTTCATCCGGCAATAACCTTAAACCTTGTTGGTTGCTACCTCCATTCTTACGAAGTTTCCGACATGCAAATTGCAAACACGAGCGTGTTTGCTTAAAATCATGGCTTCCATCTTCATAATTTAGCCACAGGAAAATGTCCTTGTCTTGCTGAAAGCTTCATAGCGTAACCATTTTTCATGATTTTTACAGAACATGGCATCGTCGTTGATCCTCCGTGCTTCGCGTAGGTTTGTCAAACCTGCATATGCCGCATCTCTTTTGATCCCCACTCAGCAATTCGTAAGCCAAAGCCCCACCACTCCAAGTCCCCCATTCAAGCCAACTCAACTACAAAATTTCAATTTTGAGTTTCGTAAGAGTGTTGGGTGTGTCTCAAATTTCCACCTTGTTGCGTACCTGTCTACGAGTCCTTCAAAGGAGGACAACAAGCAAAGTGGCAATGTGAGTAGTAGTGGTGCAGGGGACACTTCTTGGATTGACTTGTACTTGCCTAGGCAGGTTCAGCCCTATGCTCGCCTTGCCCGCCTTGATAAGCCAATTGGGACATGGTTGCTTCTATGGCCTTGTATGTGGTAAGACTTCTTGTTCACTTATGATACGAAGACATTCTTTAACATCCACAAAACGTAGAGGTGAACTTTAGGACAAAACTTCGATATGCTGCACTGTTCTCCAAATAGAATTGGAGTTTTATTTCGGTAATTTGTGTTGACATTTAGCGGAATTATTTATTATGCATGTCACCAAGGTGAAACACTAATTCTGATAGGAGAACAATATCAATAGTAATGTATGTAAGTTTTATTGCGAATTTTATTGCTAATTAGAAATAGAGTTTAATAAGTATGCGTTTTCAGTGTAGTTTTTACGCTGTTAATCGATCAGAAATCACCATTAGTATAAATTTTAAGGTTGTTAACTTGTTATAAAATTCAACAAACTTGTCATACATGATGGTTTGTGATTGAATGATTGTGTAGAACAGTAGAAGACATTTACGCTCTGGGTGCATGTATTATTTATTCTTGGAAATATGTAGATATTGAACTTTTATAACCCATGTGACATTGGTAATTAGTTGAGGAAATTTTGAAGGCAGGGAAGCTACTTTTTTTGTAATTTAGATTTGTAACTTTATTTATTGCAACGTAGTTGTTATATGGCTACGTTATTCTTCTTTCATCCGTGATCAATTTTAAATTCCTACATGAGTATTCTGTCAAACTAGCGCATGGTTGTTTTCGTGTTTGGTTGGAAATGGACATGGATCTTACAACTTGTAGCATTAGGTGAAACATGCAGATAGTGCTCCTACGATATGAAACCCAACACGCTAGAAAGTTCACCATTTGTTGACTTGGTATTCTTTATGCTTTTTTATATTTAATGTTTCTTATTTTTCATGTCTTAGGTCAATTTCCTTGGCTGCAACCCCGGGTCAGCTTCCCGATTTTAAAATGATGGCTCTGTTTGGATGTGGGGCTTTGCTTTTGAGAGGTGCAGGATGTACTGTAAATGATCTCCTTGATCGGGATATTGATACAATGGTAAATGTAGTTACTTCTTTTTGTCTGCATTGATTTTGATAGGAGATATCGAGATAGTGATTTTGTGTTGTAAATTAATATAATGGGGGTATGTGTGTGTGGATGTGTCTGACTAGGATAACTGGTACTGATAGAAGAATGAACTGAAAGCTAAGTCATTCCGAGTATAATGCTTTAACATTTATATGGCTTGTAAGTTCATCTTTATTTTCTATATTTTGTATTAAAGAAAGTTCTTTTTCTCCTTACCTATTATGCTTCAAATATGGTTATCAATTTGTCTGCACGAAAGTTCCCTATATTATTTTGCTTGTCCCCCGCCACACCTTTTTTGGCTTGATAAGGGGATTTCTTGTCCTTTCTTCTTCTGTTAACCTTCCTGTTATTTAACCTTTTTATTGATAAAAATGTTGTATTCACTAGATTGTGTAGGTCCAAGTGATTGATAAGAGGATTGAATTAAGATTTGGGTTGAATCAAAGATCCTAGCAGATAGAGTCCTATGCCCATAAAATTGGAAGATGCAGTGCCTAATGGGCACGGCTGTATTTTGAATCTTTGATTAAAGCCCAGATTAATTTCACTTGTTATTTTGCATCCATTAGGACAACACTGGAGACATTGGATGCTCTTATTCAATTTGATTTTATTGTTATGAGTTATGACATTAGATTCATGATTTTGTTTTAGTAAAAGCACTTCCTATATACTTAGCATACATGATTGCATGTGATGTGGTGCTTCTTAGGTTTTTCCCTTTAACCTTTTAAGAAAAGCTTCAGTTTGTTTTCTTCATCATAAGTGATCTTAGATTTTATGTGCTGAATGATATTCTTACCATTGTATAATGCAGGTGGAACGTACAAAGTTGAGACCAGTGGCAAGTGGTCTTTTGACACCATTTCAAGGACTTTGTTTTCTTGGTTTTCAATTACTTTTGGGTCTTGGAATTCTTCTACAACTGAATAATTATAGGTTAGTGATAATTTTGAATTTCCAAAATGGATCAAGGTTTATCTTTGTTATGTTGGTGCTTTAGACACTTAAATTTGTAATACATCAACTATTTATGCTAAGATAGAACTTTCCTGGCTGGAACCATTAGCTGTTTTCCATGTCCTCGATCGTGGCTCTGATCATGAAAGCTGACAACTCCAAATACTTTTGATATTTTTATAGGATTAAATACTGTATTGAGTTATTGAGGCAAATCAATCAAGATTCTTCTCAAGAAGAGACCTTTAAATTATTAAAAATGGGAGGTAAGTAGGTTAAAATAGTGTGAACAGAAATGTAGAAGACCAACTCCTTTAAATTTCTGCCACATATTCTCAAGGAAATATGTGACTGTTTCTGTATTACATTGTGTAATCTCACAATAAGTTGCTGCCTCTCCTCCATGTTAGCCATGGTCAAAATTGATTCAATTGTTTGATAAGAAAACTGTGGTATGTGGGAAAGGAGAAGATATAGCATTGCTATATATATTCAACTACCAAAGGCTATTTTAAAATGAAGATATAGCATTGCTGTATAGCCTGGAAAACACTGTTATGCACAGCAGAATGATCTATCCCTTTTTTTCTTTTTCTTTTTCTTTTTCTTTATTTGAATAAGGATCTGTTTTGTGTAAAAAAAATGTTATCTGTTTCCATTTCCTGTTTTTACTTTTTTATTATAAAAATATCATCTGTTTTTTGTTTTCAGAGATTTATATAGGAATTAATGAAAACAATAAAATGTTGGTTTCATTGTTTCCTATAGAAATATTTGAAAAAAAGACAACAAAATAAAAACAATGTGACAATATTGTAATTAAAGTGAAAATATGAAATGAGCAGAAAATTCTACTTGAGTTCCATCTTCTCAGTATTTCATATGCAGCCATTACTGAATAAACATAAAGTGTGAACATGTGAATTTTGCTCAAATTTTATATTTTTATTCTTTGGTTTGTGTACTTTTTGCAGCCGTATTTTGGGTGCCTCATCCTTGTTGCTCGTCTTCTCATATCCTCTCATGAAGAGGTTTACATTTTGGGTAATGAATTTCCTCATTTCTAGTTTTTTTTTTTCTTATCTTATTTCTTTATTATTTTAATTCATGATCTCATTATGCTTTTATATGGTGCTGTCCTGAAACTATATTGGTTAGCCTCAAGCCTATCTTGGGTTGACCTTTAATTGGGGGGCTTTGTTAGGATGGGCAGCAGTTAAAGGAAGTCTGGATCCATCTGTTGTGCTGCCACTTTATGCCTCTGGAGTATTTTGGACTCTTGTGTATGATACTATCTATGCACATCAGGTAAAACAGCACTTCTTCTAGTAAGGCGTGATCATATAATTTTACTCCTGTCTTTAACTGCTTCATCATCTGCATTGATGCGTGGAATGCCTTTATGATTTTTGTACATTCCTGAACTTCTGCCTTCTAAGGGGCAATGGCATACTATGCTCTCTTTCAAATATGGAAGGTGTAAAAGTCATGGTATAAATTTTTAAGCATGCTCAGATGATTGAGTTGTCTATAACAGTTAAGTTGTATTGTTGAAACAGTAAGTACAATGACAAGACTGCTTTGTAACCTCCACTTGAATCTTTTGTTTAAGGCATTGCAATCAGAATTCTTAGTGTCTAATAATATTGCTAACCTTGGCATTTAGGATAAAGAAGACGACCTGAAAGTGGGAGTTAAATCAACAGCTTTGCGCTTTGGTGATTCAACGAAGGAGTGGATTTCTGGGTTTGGGATTGCATGCCTTGGTGGTCTTGCTGTTAGTGGATTTAATGCTGAAATAGGTATTTGGTTATGATCATCATTTTGTTCTCTTATTTTCATGACTGCTTGGGTTCTACCTCCTGATTCATTTGTGTGGAGTAGGCTGGCCATATTATGCATCTCTGGCAGCTGCATCTGGACACTTAGGCTGGCAAATATGGACAGTTGACCTCTCATCACGCGCGGATTGCAATAGGAAGTGAGTTAGGGAGGTTCATTACATAAATTCATGATAATTATCCAAAAAAATCTTTTGAAAGTATCTCAAATCTAAATTTTATTGGCTAGGCCATCCTGTTGCAGCTTCAGATTTTTTTTAATGGTCAATTGTACCATGGAAAAGCAATTTTGATATTATCATAAACACTTTCAAATTTCTATTTCAGTTTTTGAAAGAATAAGTTATATAGCATTGCTACAAACACTTGATGGCATATTTATGTACTCAGACCTCAAATATACTCCCCCTTCAAAATTCAGTGATTGCTCAATTCTTTTGTTCATTACTTTTCAAGCGTTTTATCGATTGATTGCAATATGTTAGAAAACTTCAACGTATCAGTTAGCTTACCATATATTGTTTACTTTTATCTTCTTAAATTTGAACATTATGAACTGACTTTGGTACCTTTTTGTTTGTTATTTTCTTTTTCCTTCAGATTTGTCTCAAACAAGTGGTTTGGAGCTATCATATTTGGTGGAATTCTAGCTGGAAGACTTTCATCATAGGCGTACATTTTGCCTTATAGAAAATATATACACACGCACATGAACAATTTTTCTAACATTGTGCGCATACCGAAACTAACCGCCCTAGGATGTTGTATCTGATTACATTTATTTTCTACAGAACATGTTTTATGAGCCAATTAATTTATGGCTGAGCTTTATTCATTGTTTGTTGAAAGTTGAAACATGTTATTTTTGTAATTTTTTTGGATTAACCGTTGAAACACGGTTACTGACATAATATTTTTGCATTAGTTTCATTGAAATAATTTTAGTAATTGTAGAACTGAAACACTAATCGCTAGTTATTATTATTTATTGGACTTGAAGGGATTGGTAAGTGGTTAACTGTTAACTAGTTGAATCACTTGATTAACATGTAATTATATCTATTCTTTTTCCCTCATCTGGAGGTTGTCTAGCAAACTGCAGTTTCTGGTCGGCACATGCTAACATGACATGAAAGAATGGAACAGGTTTTATGGAACAAGCAGCTTGACATTGGAGTTTCATACACTTGAGGTTGTGACCTATAAATCAGATACTCGAGCAACTTAACCGGTTTCAATTTTGGTAAAACACTGCATGTGTAAGATACCAAATCGCATCTTCCACCATTTGATGGTTCCAAGTTTTTAACTAAAAAGGATCGACTCTGACATAGACACTTGACATAATATGGATATGGACATTGAGACATTGCTAATGTTTAAAAAGTAGGGTCACATTGTTAATCTTTAAAAAGAAGGACATGGAAACACGTTATGTATATGTAAATTTTATAATTTTTATATGATAATGACTCTTAGAAAACAAATCATATAAGTACTAGTTAAGAGCGACTCACTTTCTTAGTTCATGTTCAATTTGTGTTGGAGAGGTATTAAAAATAAATTTGTGATATATGATGTAAATGTGTGAGGCATATGTGTGTCATGATGTATTTAACAAATATCATATTAGAAACGTGTTAGACATACTAATATGACATTTTATAAATGTGTCAGCCACACTTATACGATATTTTGTAGATATGTTGGTACAAGTTTTTAAGCTAATAAGTCCATTGATATGTTTGGACTGTGATAGTTTATAAGCGATTTTGAGAATTTTTTTACCAAAAAATATTCTTTATTTTCAGTAAAGAAACTCTAAAAAATATACCCAACAATATCTACACATACTCTCATATTTTGGATGTTTGGACGTGTGAAAGGGGATTCTATTTGTAGCATGTTGACTTTCATTGATGAATATTGCAGGTTTGTGAAAAAATCAGCAACATTGAAAACCTTAAAAATCAAGAACGAGGTTGGAAATTAAGGACATGTTTGGAAAAACGTTAGGTTAAACGTAATTCACGTTTTTTCTAATCCATCAACATAGTTACTTTGTTATTTGGAATATGAGAATGTGTGAAAGTCTATTTTAAAATATTGACACGTAAAACCAAACATACTATAAGTCGTTAGAAAGATCCGTTTCCTTGCATAGACAATGAAGAATAATACATATCTCAAGAATTCTGTAACCAACATGTCCATGTTTTTCCCGAGACAATAACATGCGCCAACACTATCAACAAAATGTTCGTTTCGGATTTGTGGGGGATGCTGCATGCCTGTAACGTACCAATAATGATATTTTTGGGCAGAAGGGATGGAAACAATTGCCATTCGTGTCACCAATAGGCATCCACAAGCCAGCGTAGGATTTATCTTGCAATGAGAAGTTACTGAAACTTAAACCTAAGGTTAATCATTTAGTACTTGGTTGCATATGTTACATTTTCCTTTTCAAACAATTTAAGGAGCATGTTTGACAAGAAATAAGTACATTAGGGTGTGAAAGTTAGAGAAAGGAAGTGGGGCTTGATGAAGCTTCCTCTTGGTGTCACTGTGCGAGCTTACCTCAGCAGGTGAAATCATATACAGCAGAGAAGGGGAAGAGAGAATGTAGGACATTGAAGTTCAAGTGCCAAACTAACGACCAAGGCAAGGATGAAGAGACACTTGTGACCAAATCATTTACACGTTGTGATCACCTGATAAGGTATAATAGAGAGTGCTGTAAAAGCTTATAGCTAAGAAGAACAATATTATATCTATGAGACAGAGTGTCTCCTACTCCTACCAGTTTTCCCCTCTGAACCACGAGACTTCCTACCTGATTTTTGGCGCTTTCCACCTCCTTGACCACTAAAAATTGCAATTCTCCCTATTCCCTTTGAAAGTGATGTTAAGAATGTTCTTCCATTTCCTGCTTTATCAATCATGCCTTGTTTCATGAACATCTGCTCCTTCTCCAACTCACTCAGCCTCACCCTCATTCTTGAAATCTCCAGCTTCAGTTCTCGGTTCTCTCTCCGCAGAGAAGCGTAGGTGTCCCTGGGGGACATGGCTGCACTTGGAACACCACTGCTTATTCTCTGTGACAGCAACCCATCTCCCGAACTACCCGACAACGCGTTCTTCAACCGCAGCTGCTCACAGTACAGGACTTGCACCACCGTCTGCAGTGGAAGTCTGTCATTTTGGGCTGCATGGTTGCATGCTTCTTGAGACAGCTTCTGGCAGTCTATCATCTTGCAAAGTTTCTTACATTCTTGTTCTGTTAGTGCTGGATGTGCCTGAATAAGGAGCAAAAATAATTTCTGTTGTCGACATGGAGGAAAAATAATAGAATAAATAATATATGCAATAACAGTATAAAGGTTTTTTACACAATCATCTGATCATAAACCATCATGTAAGGTAAGTTTGTCGGTTGTTAAAATAAATATCTTAAAAGTCATATCAAAGATGGATTCTGATCGGTTGAAAGTGTAAAACTTTCACACAGATTGCATCCGATTAAACTCAAATGAATAACAAATAGAATAAACTGTTTAGTTTTTCAAGTGTAACTGTTGCATGATTTTAGAATGAGGTTTAACTAGGAAGCACCTAACTTTCCTATAGTTCAAGCAGATGTACCTTCAAATAAATATCCACAGCTCTGTAGAGGCCATCATCAATAACTCGAGCATAATCAGGAAGTATCTCAATCAAAGCAACGAATTTCTGTAGACTTAAGTAGGGATCAGGAGCAATTTCTGCTAAATAAGCATCAATAAGCTGCCCCACTTTTAGTAGAGAACCATGGCCTGCAGAAGCAAGACCATCAGATTCATACCCATAATCTTCAGTTTCTTCCTCTTCAACCCTTTGCAAGAAATTCACCAGAAGCCTGTGAACTGTATCAACATCAAACAAGGAGTCCCCACTCTGTAGAGATGGTATAAGCAAATCATCTAATGGGACCATTTCCAACCGCAATGCAATCCTCCTTTCAAGCTCAAGCCTACAGGGAATGGTGGCACCCAACATGATAGCCATCTTTAACATGCCAAACAAAAAAGTCAATGGAATGGAAGAGCTTTTGTCTGCTGGCATGAGACTTACAAGAGTTTCCACAATCATCCTCTGGTCCTTTTCTACACTGGTTGGACTTGAGTTTGTCCTTGATGGATTCCAGAATTGACACTTTCCAATACCCTTCAATGATGATTGAGCGTAATGCATCAGTGATGCAATAATGCTGTCTGATCTCACCCCCATTCTTCCCATGGCACATATGACTCTCTGGAAGTAATCAATACGCAACACTGAGAGATCTTCAACCCACCATGCAACACAATCCTCCTTTAGTTCTCTAGATTCACCATCACAGTCTAATTTAGATAAACCAGAAACTAGTTGCTCCTTGCAAGCATTCATTGCAATGGCTTCCACGCACCCGTTTGATATTTCAATTTCATCCACTACACTTGGAGGTAACATCTCACAGGTGGATAGCACTTTCACTGACTTCTGAAGACTCTGAAAGACAATCTCATTCAGATATATCTCTGCTCTTGAGATGAGGTTTTGCTCCCGGTATTCTTCTGTCATTTCCAGGTACTCTGCTGCGCATCGAAGCCGGGCAACATTGAATGTTGTAATCTCAAAATTCATCCCATAACAGAACTTCATGGCAAGTTCAAATGTCTGGTGCCCCCCTGGAAAGTTGGGTAGCTCCAAGTTTGAAACATTGGAACCCTTGTATTCAGCCACCATCTTCCTGATCTTCCCACTTAGGGTCACCAAGGGAAACTTCATGAACCAGCACAAAGTAATTAGTTAGTTTTAAATAGATTTTGAATTCTAAGCTATTGTTTCTGTAGATTCATAGACATTGTCTGAATAGTATTGAGTTGACTGGTGCAGCTATTTTGTACTCAAAAGAAGCCAAATAGAAGTCATCAACTTTTTTCGTTGATATCATAAAGTAGGCATGACTTTTGGAAAATAGTGGTGATTTTAGTAGCTTGTTATCATATTATGGATTCTGGACATACTGTTCATTATATCCCAATTCATAGCAGCTGGTAGAACAGACCCTCAAATTCAAGCCATGAAAACTACAGTTTACAAGATAAAACTTGCAACTCAATGACAAATAAAACAAGCTCATGAATGTACTAAATGGTTCTCAACCGCATCTTGAAAGATTTACCTTATGCAGCAGAAAAGACTCCCCATCAACGACAATGGTAATATCACCAGCAACATCAGCAAAAATCCTGCAACAAAAAATAACAATATGACATGACAACTGTCACAAAATCCTATCAAGGATGCAGGGATGCTGAAATCCACAGCATCCTCTGATTCATGTCACCACTAACCAAAAAAACCTTCACAACGAAAGAAATGAAAGAGTTGAGAATAACGGCACGTCAAGAATGTTGTCTTTAAGCATGTAATTCACCTTGAATTTTCCCAAGAATTTAGATATCTAAATTCTTGGGAAATATCTCACCATAAAATTTGTGTTGGATTTAAGCACTCACTTCCCGATTAATATGCATAACCTTTATCAATAAAACCCAGATGAAGGGCTATCAAAAGTGCAATCAACAAACAAATGCCTTAATTTCAACACCAGTAAGATAGAACTAGACTGAAATGAAAGAGTGGCAACAAAGCACATGAAGTTACATTCTTAACCGACTATCAAATGAAATATAGACAGACTAGTACATATTACACCCCCACCAACCTACATAACATAGTCAAATAGATAGATGCTGGAGTACCTAGTAGTGAAAGAGTTGCAGAACTTAGGAGTAGATGCTGGAGAGCGTTTAGAAGAAGAGAGGGAGGTTTCAGAAACCATGTTTCTCTCTATCTCTTAGAATAGAAAGAGTGAGTGAGGAGAGTTGAGAAAAGGCAACTCCTCCTCCTGCTGTTGCCTGAGCTGTGTATGTTTCAGGAACAGCAACACAAACTGAGACCTATGCTGTGGCTGTTGATGATTAAACTATCAAAGAATGCGTACGGTTGATGACTGGTTCAGGAATATTTTGGACTAAACGCCCCAAAAGGCCCTCAGCATGACATTCATTTATTCACAAATGCCATCACACACATACAACACAGCTTTTTCTTTTCGTTTTCATAACATGTGCTGTGTGTATGTGTAGTAGCAGCCAGCCTATGGTCTTCTTACCTCTTTTGCTTTTTGGCTGCTTTTGTTCCTGGCTTTGGTGTTATAATACAGTTATTACACACTATACACTACACTGTTCAGACTTCATATTCACATGTTATTATCTAATCAAGTACCACTGTTGGCCTTGGACGTGGACACGTTACGTTACAAAAGACTCAGCCCTGTGGTAAAATTTGCAAACAGAAAGAAACACAGGGTTGTGTGTGTGTGTGCCTGTGTCACCTTGCTTTATTGGGTTTCGATTTTGAACTGAAATGACCAAAACCAAACGCTACAATTATGGCTTTAATAGTACCCATTAAATAGCAACTTTGCTAATTAAAATCAAATTTGCTGCTGTACCTGGTGTATAGATTTAAATATCTTTTATGTATAAAAACTGTTAATTTAGAGTTTTGTGTGGGTTACAAATGAACTTCAAATTTCAAACATGAACTTTAATTACATATAGCAATTAAATGAGAATATAAAAGTCTTTCTTGACCTAATGGTCCTAAGGTATCATGAGAAATAAAATTGATATGATACTTCTAAAATCGTTTTTTACAATGTTAAAAATGTTTAACTAGTCATAAGTTATACCTTAATATACATATCAGTCATTAGTTATCAGTTTTAAGAAATTGGTTAAAAAACATTTTCATAAAAAATAAAAACTATCAATATATATAATTTATTCCAATAATAAATGATATTTGGTGGGATTTATTTTTTCTAGACAACTAAGAAGATGGTTAAAAAATGGTCATATATTTTTATGCATGCCATTATAAATATCATCTTAATTTTAGTTTTACTCATATGATATCATATGTTATGAAATCTATGGAAGTATCCTTGTACAAGATAGATAAGATGATCCATCATCAAAGTAATAAAATAAGATCGAGATAATTTATAGTGTGTCCGGGTACACGTTTGAAAATCACGTTAACAGAGAAGTAAAAAAATTTTGCTTCTTATTTTCACGTTTTTGATCTCGGACGGACGTGATTCAATGTGTGGAAACGTATTTCCAAACACACTATTAGTAATTGTAATGTATGTTTTGAAATACGAGATCAATTAATATTCTCAGATTTAATATATATTTATATTAAAATAATATTTGATTAGTGAAAACAAGTATATATTATTCCTTGATTATTAATTTTGAAATATTATATAAATTATTATTAAAAAGAAAAGAAAAAAAAGGGGTTTGAAAAGCAAAAGATGTGTGACGTAGGGCAAGCAATGGGAGCGTAGAAGGGATTGAGAAAGGGAGAGGTTGAAAAGAAAAAGTGGTCTAAGGACATCTGACATGGAGTGTTGGTGGCATGGATCCATGTCACGGAACTCAATAAAGATGCAATTATTAGAGACACTACCACTACACATCTCTGCCTTCTCATTTCTTTTCCCATTTTATTTTATATTCTTCTTTTTAACACAACACATAATCTTCATCTCAATCCCATACATTCATTCATACAGTTTTTCTGTGAATTTTTAACACGTTCTCCTACAGAATCGGACAAAGCTTTTTTCTCTGAATTTTTACGACACTTATTTTCTGTAGTTATTTTATATTATTGGTCTTTCATATTTGTCGATTATGAATAATATGTGGCAAGACAACTGTCCCAAGACATAAGTTTATTCCTTCCCTGTCTGCTGTCTGATTAGATAATAACATCTGGTTTCTTTTTTATACCAAAGTTTTCCAGCATTTATGAGTAACTGTTTACAAAATATTACTACCTCGTATTTTTTTTATGAGACAATAAAAAAGACAACTTATGTAAAATATACTATAACTTGCTTCTTATTAAAAAAAAAAATGTAATTTAACCATTAATATATACTTTATTTAAAGACAAATATAATGATTTTTCTATAAACGAGGTTATTTTCCTAAAGAAACGCTATGCAATAAAATTCTAACCTTACACAACGAACAACCTGTAGGTAATTTTAATGTATTGTTTGTGATATTAATCGACGAACTTGCTAGAGTTAAAGGGTGTTTTTGATTTCAGAAAAGAAAAGGAAAAATATATATATAAAGTCATACGATTTTTAGGTTTTTTTGTAAGGGAAATAATAAAAAGAAGGAAAGATTATTTTTTTCCCTTTTATTTAATTGTATTGAAAGTGAAGGAACAGGAAAAAAAAGAAGTGAAAATAATATAACAACCTTAAGTGAAAAATGAAATGTAATAGAAATAAAAATGGTTTTTGTCTTTGTACAAAAGTGGTTTATTTCCCTTATTTCGTTTAAATATGAACGCATTATAAAATAGATGTAGAATTCATGTATAAAGTAATAAGTTCACCTATATTTTAAAGTGAGATTTTTTTTAAAATTAATAATAATATCTTTTTATAAAAAAAATATTTTATATAAAAAAATTATATTTATATTTTTTATATATATAAATAGACCTTTTAAAGTAGATTTTAATAATAAAAAAACAATTTTCAAATTATGAAACCTTAAAAGAAATTATATAAATATTAATAAAAAAATTAAACAATCCAAAAACAAAAATTTTATTGACTTCACCATTAGATCCACCTGTAAAGTATCATTCCTTTCTATGTAGTGTTAAGGGTGAGCATGAAACTCAGACCTAAATCGAACTTGAAAAACTTGATAAAAAATATTACTTTTTGAGTGGATTTGGGCGGGTCTTATAAATCAGGTTAAAATTTTGATTTTATACGAGTTATATTGGGCGAGTTTGATTTTGAATTTTTAAACTCGCTAAAAATTAAACCCAACCGAAAATGAGATAAGTTTATATTTTTATTACTTTTGTATAACTAAACAATAATGGTCTAAACTCAAAAATCTTTATTTCAAGTATAATATAGCTATCAATATGTAACTTATTTTTTTTTCTTTTTCTCATAACCTAGATAAAAAACGGGCTGGAGATGCTGGCCCGCCCCGCCTAAGGACGGGCTGGCGGGTTGGCGGGCCAGCCCGCATACAAAAATAAATAAAAAATGGAAAAAAAATATATTATGTTCAAATAAAAAAAATGCTACAAATAAATAAATATAACCATATGAAATTATAAATGCATACATATTGTACATAATATATGTTCAATAAAAACAAATTACAAACTTAGAACAAAATCAAATAAAAATTTGTCCATTTACACCAAAATCAAAACCAAATTATAAACTTATACAACTAAATTTTTTTATAGTTCACAAAACAAGTTTAAATACAATTAATTAACTTTAAATTTTTATTTTAAGAATATTAGGACCTCTCTTAGAAGAAGATGTCTTTACTTTTTTTTCTTAATCATCTTCATCCTCACTTCTACATCAAAATAAAATAAACATAAAAATAATTAAATTTAAAAAAATATATATGCGAGCTGACGGGTTGTGACGGGCAGGCCCGCTATTTAGCCGGCGGGTTGACGGGCTTGGCAGGTTGGCGGGTTGAAATGATGGGCCCGCCCCGCCAATTTTTGACGGGCCACAACCCACTTTGCTATCCTTACATGTAACTACGTCAAAAAGGATTCCTATGTTACTTTAAAAGTTATTAGTGTAAAATTTGTCTAAGTTTGTCAAAATATTTTCATGAAATAAAACTTAGACAGATTTTAAGAAAAAATAATAATAACGTTTACTCCTTTGCCTTCTTACTTTTATTGATTATTTACCTATTCACAAGTTTAATGAAAATTTATATAACAAAATAATACATAAAATTAAAAAAAAATCATTTTATACGCTGAGATGGAAGAAATGGTTAATTTTGAAATTGATATTATTGACAAAAACATAAATCTCACATATTATAGATCATTAAAAAGGGTCATTTATCACTTATTATTTTTTTACGTACTAAATTCAATAGTGTTAAATATGAAGAGGTATACCGAGAAAACTCAAGTCATATATTAACTTGACATATGACAAATAAATTGATTATAAATGAGAGACAACTTTCACCGTACAAACTAACTTTGTAGAATTAAATTAAGTTTCATAACTCATATTTTAAGAGATATATTCACATGTTTATGTTTGTTATTGTTTACATACAAAAGTAGAACCTAAATAATAACAATAATAATAATAATAATAATAATAATAATAATAATAATAATAATAATTGATCTTATAATTATGAATTTAGGATAACTAGGAAAAATATAAATCATTGTCATAATCATGATAACTAAAAGAGTCTAAATCATATAATAACTATGTAGTAAGGAAATTTCAAATCTTTTAATAACATTAATAATTAGAAAAGATAATTGTAACAAAATATAAAAATAAATCACTATTATAAGGTTTAGGGTTTTGTAGATTTATTTTTGTAATCATCAGCTTTTTTAGTTATTAATGTTATTAAGACAATAATTTAGAATTTGAAACATACAACATTTTGAAACATAACCCTTCTAGGAAAGTTGCTTCAAATCGTTCTATGCTCTAAATAAACATAAATGATTTGAAGCATGATTATTCATGCTTGAAAAATGTTAGAGTTATTTTATAGTATTTGTTGAGTCTAAATTCTTACAATTTTATTTTTGGTCATCACCTAAAAAATCTTTTAATTATTGGAACATACTTAAAAGTGTTTTCAAATCGTATTGGAACATACTCTTAAGAGATCTCTTAAAGGCACTTGGGTCTCTGCCGGAAGAGAAGATGCATATATGATATATTCCATGTATTGTCTTCAAGCACTTGTATTTCGTGATTCATACCACCTAACATGGAATCACATGCCTTCTTTCTCAACAATTACGATTGCAAGGAACACGCTATGCTATAAAGAAGAATTATCACGAATTTGAAATTAAATCGGATATATTTTTAGGCCAGATTTAAATTATGTTTCAGGTTACTTCAATCTTATCTTATATCTTTTAAAAAAAACTATTTTTTTTAAATATAAGAGTTATTCACATTTTAGCTAAAGAATGTATAAGACTCTAAATGGATGAATGTTTGTTTTCATATAAAATCATCCAAGATTTTT